ATGTAGTTCCTGTTCTCGTGGGCGTAAAGTGCTCGAATCCGAAAGGAACACAGGCGACAATATAGAAACACTAAAAGTAGACCCCGCCTATTGGGGGTGATGTCGATTGTGTGTNAAAAATTAGGCTATAATTTTTTGAAATTTAGTATCCATGGTTCCACACACAGTAGTCCCTTCTACGCAAGAGCAAATGCACTACATTGACTTCAGTCCTCATAAAATAATTTCTACAACAACCCCGGCCACACAGGTGCATAGCCTGTAGAGACGTGTAAATCCCTACAACTCCCCAAAGGGGCTGTCTTTTCAAAGTTAGTGTTCATGGCCACAACACAGTCCAAACTACACACATTTTCTTCGACTACATGGACTGCAGAGGTATTTGATTGGGATACATCGGAGTGCTCTTCATAGCCACACTCAGCCCCACTTCACATCCAAAAGAAATGATGTCCGCTACAGAAGCGTCAGGGAAGAGGCTCAGTTAATAAAGGTTTATAATGAATATCAGAAGCTTATGTGGCTCCGTCCCTTATGGTTAGAGCCCCCAGCGCACGCATTAGCGTGCGTAGCCGCCTAGTAATACACAAATGTCCGTCTGTTTGTCGTTTCGTCAGTTTGTAACCATCTTAATGGCATCTTCTGGAAATCGAGTTGGAACAGCTCGTCCAGCTTGTAACAAGTGGGGAATGAGCCAAGCAACTTGGAACTTGAGCTGGGCTCCTTCCAATAGGGGCGAGACGTGCGCGAGAAGTGCTCCTTGAAAAATATGTAGTTCCTGTTCTCGTGGGCGTAAAGTGCTCGAATACGAAAGGAACACAGGCGACAATATAGAAACACTAAAAGTAAACCCCGCCTATTGGGGGTGATGGGGATTGTGTGTGAAAACTGCGAAATTCGGATCTGGGGCGTTCAAATTTGGTGAAGCTGTAGGCGGAAAGATTAGAAGACTAATGGCAGGTGGCAGGTTTAAACTCCACCCAATGTGGACATGGCGTGCGCGAAAACAGTTAATAACCTAGGGTTCAGATTTGGTAGAGATGCAGGCGGCAGGAAACGAGGATTAATGGCGGGCGGCAGAACTGCACTCCGGGGAAGGAGAAACCGGGAAATCCGAATCGACAGTCCTATCCAAATGCCTTCTAGATTATGCAGGATCAATTCACTACTTGGCTGCTTTCACACGAGTAGCTTTCACGTCGGTAGGACTTACTCTGTAAGGACAATGTTCGCTACACCTGATCGATCTCTTGCGTTATTGAACGACCATTTGCAACTCTGTTCTCCTGAGTTCTTCAGCGTCCGACTCTAAGAAACTTCGAGAGATGAGGTGGGGCGGAGCGGTAGACGTAACGATCGATAATAATAACCGATTTAGATCAGTGTAGTTTTGTATTACTTGACTGGAGATTTACGAGAGAACGACGCGATTACCTGGACGATCTAATAACGAAAATATAAGAGGGTAATGATTAAACGAGGGGTTCATTTCTGATTGGTTTTCTTTAACCAAATTTGGGAACTCAGAATATTAATCATGATTGCAAGTGAAGTCCCGTCCCACAGTAAAAGGGCAAAGAGACGGGGCTAAGCAATGAGCATGTATGCTTTCAAAAAGAGCATACATGCCATGACGGCAACGACGACATGCGTCACGAGTAGAGGGCGAAGGAGGAAGGGGAGCGTCTGTGCAGTATTCCCTTCATTACAACAAGTCGTTGGTATTAGATGGATTTGGCTGCCCTCTTGAAGTAGGAACGACACTTCATGTGAACAAGGTCTAGCAAAACATTGAAAGCTTACGTAAGAGAGCGTACTTAGATGAAATGTGAATTGAAAAGAAGTTCAAAATGATGCCGTCCGTTTCTAAGAATAGGACGAAATGATTGAATAAGCGCGACAAGTCATTGAAGGAATGGAAACTGAAAGAGAAATGGAGCCAGTTCTCAAAAAAAGGCGAATAGGTCTCAAAAACGCCTTTCGATCACGTGGTTCAGATACAAGAAAGTTAGGAAGCTGTTACCAGGGTGAAAAAGCGCGCGTGCATGAGTAGTCTGTACGAGCAAACTCGATGCTAGTGCTGTACAAAACAGACCACACAACACCCTTATTATACGCATAATCCTTGCCCTAATCAAACAGTTATCGCTTATGACGAGAAGCGAGTTATGATAAGCAAAGTTTTACAGACTGCGCAAAAGTTCGAAAAAACCTGCACCTAATTTAAGTCACAGTAGAATGAGATGCATTAAGTTCCCGAAATTCACAGTTATCCAAGGCTGGCTTGTATAGTAAGATCTTCACTTGAATCGATTCGTTTTTAAGATTTTATAAGGCGAACAACTCAAAAACAAAGAATGAATTGACTGGATGCGCTGCCCGGCGGCAACAATTTCAGGTATATTCGGGTTTCCCATTCCGGTCGTCAGTGAAAATTGTTTATCTAGATTGGTTTCACCTCCAAGTAGTCGTGCCTAGAGGATACAAAGAAAAAATAGGATCACACATACCTGTCGTAACCAGCCGAAGCTAACAGTCCACCAAAATCTGGGTGCGCCCATGACACTTGCCAAACAGGAGCGGAGTGGCCAGCAAGTTCTGCTATGGGCACTATGTAACCATTTGCTTTCACCTAGTATTAAGCCTACATTGTTCAACTTCGCGAGATTTTGTATGAACATGGAAGGAACACGGCAAAAAATATTTGTCATTATGGAGGCCAACCTCGAAAATTTTAACGATCCTATCGCTGGAACAAGTGGCTAGGCGATTTCCATAATAATTCAGTTGTGCATCATGCTGGAGAATATTTATCAAAGGGAACAATTGATGATAAATTGAACCATGCAAATTTATTGTTATTTCAAATTTCATCTTTTCAATTCCTATGAAATTAGATAGAACTAGTCAGATTAACAACTTAAGCGTCCTTAACAATTTTGAAGGTTCACTGCGTTAAATTGCGATGCAATTGAAGGGTATCCATGAACACCCATCTTTCTTATCCATGAACACCCATCTTTCTGACTAGTTTTTCATCAAGTATGATCACAAAAGGACAACGAAAGTAGCACGCCTGGGGTCACAGTTTTCTCTCAACCGCCTACGTTTTTTTTCAACCTGTTTGAAATGGCGCCAAACGACTATTTTCGCCATAGGTTCTATGCTGAATAGCCCAAAATCTTAGATTCCCACGTAATAAAACGACAACTAAATCTGTAGCGGAACACGTGGATCTTCAAGAGCTATCGCTCTGTATAGCGATGACAGGCGAATCAGTAAATGATACGACCGTTTCATAAGGCCGATGAATCATAAAGTGTAAGCCTGCAAGCAAACTCACTTGATTCGAAAAACTCATCAAAACAAGAAAAGGATACTGTGGAGCCAAACATTGTGAGAGTGCGACGTTTAGAGCCACCTACACATGAGGCGCGCTTTTCCAAGGAGGAGCTTAGATTTCTTTCTTCCACTTGTAAGTTTGAAGGAAAGACATTTTTCGGGTACCAGCCAACTAAGAAATGGCACTACGAGTCGTGATGAACACTATCGTTTTCAAGTTTTCAAAACCTCAGCCTCCAACACCTTCAGTTAAGAACACCAAACGTTGAGATGCCCTAATTCCTAACGGACCGGAAAGTAATCATCAAAAAGACGGATAAGAAACTCACTATGATGTCGGTATGAGCGGTGTCAACCTTGCATGACACTGTAGTCTGAAAAATGCATGCGAAAGATGTTTGAAATGAATCGAATAAGAAATTTAAGCTGTAATAAATAGGTATTATGCTCGATATCGACACAATAACAGACGAATTCAATGGCATTCTGAATAGCATCAACAATATTAGGAACCGACTCGTTAGGATCGCCATATTTAACTCACAACACACCCCGTTTATTCCCAACCAGTTCCCTGCCACATGTTAAAAGATCGAATTACTCGCTGTGAATGTTTTGTTCACTCCAGGATAATAGTAGACTATTAGATCTACAACATATCACTCCGAAAAGATGGAATTGAAAACAGTAGTGACTTATCGATCTCAGCAATCATTAAGAACAAAAAAAAGAACAGCAACTCATAAAGAAACTGTAAGTTTGGATAGACGTAACCTCAAACTCACCATACCGGGATGTGCAGTGGATCGTTAAGGTGCCACTGAAAGTAAGATCATTTGTTAGTGAAAGCAAAATCAACTTTAAATGAAACCAAAGTCAAAGGCAGAACACGCGGAATCGAGTGCGTGTTCAAGTTCGACCTTTGTCAGCTGCGGACAACTCGTCCGCATTGAAACTAGGATGTGATATGACCTCGTTCCTACTGCTGTCAAATAGTTGAAAATGCTTCATTTTTCATGAAATTAGGACACCTAGTTTGTGAAAATGTAGCGCGGGCAGCGCTCTTATTCAACATTGAGCGATGGAGCGCTGAGAAGAAGGGATAATTTATTTATTTATGCCTAGAAACGGTTCTTAGCCAAATGTTCGTGGTTTTTACCTAAGCCTTATGCGTGAACGATCAACGGGGTGGGTGAGATGACTAATCATGCATAAAGCTGGGACGTAGGAGGAAACGAACATTCAATTGATTTATACACATCGGTGCTCCTTCTGTCCAACGCTCATGCAAACCCAACCCCCACCCAAACCTCATGTTCAAAATCGAAGTTAATGTTGAAGAGCAAACCGATTATTGAGGATAACTGATTCGCATGACTTAATAAGTAAACCCGGAGTTCCAAGGAAATTCTTCTGCATGCGTCTATGTCTCTCTGTCTTCCCTTTCGAAAGGCTACTACCTCAACGCGGTGGGAGGGTGAAACAGGGGCGAATGGGCGTGTCCGCTTTGACTGCTCTTACAAGGGAAGGATCCCAAGTCGAAGTGGATATTGGAATGGGACCTATACTGCTAGGTGTATTTTTTGACGCTGATTTCAAATCTGCATTCAAAATCTGAAAAGAAATCAATATTTAAACCGTCTGACGTCTAGTCCAACCATCAA